TCGCGTCGTACAATTACGCCATAGTCATAACTACACCTATTCACTTGGGACCAACGGACTGCAGAATAGCTCCTAGGAACGTGACCTGGGTGTGATCGTACAGAGCGACCTCAACTGTTCAAAACAGGCTGAGGTAGCTGCGAAAAGAGACAACCAGCATGTCGACATGCTGCGAAGAGCATTCGGGAGATTTGACCCATCAATCTTCCCAATGATGCACAATTCCTACGTGTTCCCGCATGTTGAATACGCTATCCAAGCTTGGCAACCTTGGTTGAAGCGTGACCAAGAAGCGATAGAGGCATCAAAACGGAGAGCAACAAAAAATGTAAAGGGCCTGCGCTATCACTCTTAAAACTGAAGGCTGAAGTTGCTGGGAATTTTCAGCGGGCGCTATCGAAGGCTGCGCGGTGATCTCATATTAGCGTATCAAATATTGAGTGATCCCAAACACGTATGCAGCCATTTGTTGAAAATTAGCCACAACACGCAGCTCAGGGGTAACTGCTTAAAATTGAAGGAACAATATAGCCGTCTAGAGTGTTGACGGAATTACTTTTCCCTTCGGGTTTGTCAACCATGGAACGCACTCCCAGACTCAGTTGTATCCTCTCCTACCTTGGACCTTTTTCAAAAGACGATTAGATGTTGCTCTTAGCTCCCAGTATTTTGTCACCTAAACTCCTCTATTGTGGATTACACTAAGGATGCATTTCAACAGTATTTATGTATCAAATGGATCCAAGTGAGCGACCATATTTTACTTTGCTCACTTTTTACCTCAATGATCACTGCACCCCAGTGTCTTTCTGAAGGTTTACGCGCGATAATTTATTTTAATTTTACACTGATTTTAATTATCAAACTATTCATCTCGGCAGACGTTCGATAGATGATCCAGACTTGTTTTGCGTTCATCATATTCACCTCAACCATCCTACGGGACGTGTCAAGCACTTGCTTTTATCCCGTGATAAATCATTGTTCATTGTTCATATGCAGCGAACGTTGCATTTTTCTCCAACACCAGTGCGCCAACGGTCGCAGTACTTTCAGCAAACCAATCGGACCGCTTACAGTTAGTGCGCCCGAGCCTTTCTTCAGCGGTAACCATCACCAGTTTACGAATTTGCTGAAACAGTTCGGTCAGTGAGGCAATGGAATCGACATCGTCAAGGTGAGGAAGCATCGCCTTCTCCAACTTTTCTTCTTCTCAGCGGAAACTAGGGAAAGAACATACTATTTGCGTCGTTTCACGAGAGGTGATCAGTACACAGATTTACGAAAATATATGTACAATTTGGTCTGCACCGAGTTGTTCTCCGTTCAACACTTGGCTCCACGCAGTCCACGTGTTATAGGCACTTCACTCAGGTCACGTTGGCATACGATGACAAATTCGAACATTTGAGCGTGACCACTCCGTGGATACTTCCAAGTAACAATATCACTCGCACCCAGGGCTACTGATTGGCAGGGAACCAAAAAATATGGGTGAATACAATACAACGATATTGAGAGGTGAAAGAGAGAAAAAAGGTGAGTAACTGTAGTTATGATGGGAGGATCCCACAACACGTTCGCCAAAGTGCATGGATTCTTCTTATATCAGAGAGGATTTCTAACCAAGTGAGCTCGCGATCTTTGTGCCAGGAGTCGTGAGCTCCCGACCGTGGCCAATTATGACGTCCGCGCCTTCATAATTTTGACCCCAGTCATTCGCTATCCACCTTGTTTTCGCTTCCAGCCGAATTATACGAGCGAAGAGTGCACAGCGAAGTAAACTGTCTGTAGGCATGCGCAGCACCTGTGCAAGCCACCGAAGCCTGAGCAGTGAAAATATGCTGCTCAGCAGCCGTAAAGTGTCTGATCTGAAAGTCCTTCGGGGAACATCTTCATTATTACTAATACGACGTTGCCAACGTACACCAGCAATGACCCGAAGACAGCGGTAATCAAATACAGATATCCTCTGAACGTCCTTGGCTCAAACAGGCCAAGCCTCACAACTTTGGAGAAGCACCGCGCTTACCGCAACCTTGTAGAGTCAAACCATCAGAAAGATTCAGATCGCGTCGACGCCAGAGATGTCAGTGATTAGCAACGACAATTTTGATCTTAGAGACGCGCCGAGACCATATTTGTTAAACAATTAGCGCTGATGCAGCTTCCAAAGTAACTTGTCTACCACTTCCAGAGAATAACTGAAAGGGTAAGGTTAGAGCCGCTCCTAACCTTGCCTTGTAGCAATTTCTCAATGAAGTGAAGGTCATTCCAAACTCTGCGACAGATACTTCCAACTTTCACAGCAAATATTGGACGTCCTGTGAGGAATCGCAACTTACAGCGATGTCGTCTGCACACTCCAAATAGCAAAGTAGGTCCCCGGAAGCAGCTGGGCTTGCAGTTTTTCAGAGCGCCGTAGAGAAATTGAACTGGAAGGGTGGTACTTGCCCTTCGTGTCTCATACCACTGGTGATTCTCAAGGTGATCTATGAATGATGATACAAGACGAGCTTGGCCGTTCATTTCAAGCCGCGAAAGCATCCAATAAATCCAACCGACACTTTATCATATCGTAAAAGGTATTCAGGCGACTTGATATTTCCGCCTTCCCTCAGATGTTCAAAACCCACATTAGAACCCGTTCGAAAGATGTCATTTACACCTGGCCGCCCTGACACAAGAGGGACATTGCCGCACAACGAAAGACGACGAGGAAGGTAAAAGAGCTGTTTCATTTTCATTATCAACCAAGGCGGAAAACCATTGAGGTCTACAGTGGACACTAACAATGTAAATGTGAAGATATGAGAATAAGATGTCAGATCCTGCGGAATTCCAAAAATGCCCCTCCTGGTCCTCTGAAACTAAACCACTATACTATTGTGGGAGATCACCAGTTAAAACTGGCTACATAATATAACCTGTTGAAACGCTGCCGGAATTTCCCTCCTTTTTGTGCGTATCAGCTTTAAAACGCCTTCGCTACTTACATATTTCCTTCCCCCAAGATAACAGCAAGCACAAAACATCCAGATGATACAATCGTACATTTGCAGTATAGTATATACCACTTTGTGACCGGACGTCAATGCAACACAGCTAATCGAGGAGCTCAGTTCCACTTCCAGCTATTCGTTATCTAAAGTATGCTGCTGTGTGGTATATTTATGATGTTTAGGTGCTAGATTCGTGTATCATATGGACCCAAGAAAGCGAGGTATGAGCTAGCGTTTTCATGTGCAATTTTCTCAAAGAATACGTAGACTATAATGGCTCACCATATTGTTTGATGTGCCCAAATCCAATGCACATTCAAGCTATCTTGTTGCAACACCGCATCTAAATCGGTAGATGTTAAGATTGATGGTTCAGCATGTTTGATTGTTTTGTTTTCTCCCCCAAACTTTTAAGCCACTTGGATAGTACCCGCTTCCCATCCTTTACATTTCAATGTGCGCTGTTGATCATCGGATAATTTACCCTCCAGTTCTTTGGTGTCTGCTCCCCTTCGATTATTGTTAACTGCAAATTGATACTCCGTTACTGTGATCATACTGCAACACCGAATATGTTTATTAGTACTATACTAACTAAGGAATACCAGCCAGTGTCTTATCTTGTCCTCAAGGTTAACTGCACCAGCGAAACATTCTTCAATTTCGTACTTCGTAGGAATCCCCACATCAGCCGCCCGTTTGCGTTATCACTGAACTGGCTTCTATTAGTTCAAGGTACTTTTTCTATTAACAACAAACCTTCCTAATTAGTTGAAATCTAGTCCTCACTTTCTTGAAATGAATGCATACGGTTTAAACACGTATTCTTTACACCTCACTCTATGAGGCTCCCCTAAACTTATCCGCAAGTTCTCTATGCAAGGTGGACCTCATAATTGTGACTCCATCAAGACTGCTGATTAATACTCCTCTGTCGTCATGCGAATCGGACGTCTTGAGCCCGTCAGTAGTGCTGCCTTCACGTTTTGTTGAAGCCTTTTTAGTGCCAACGATAAATTCAATCTTCAGCTACCATACTTATAATCGTTTCCAGTTATGAAGGCGGCTGTATCGGAAATTGCATGACCTACAACCATCAAACAACCCAAGCGTTTTTGCACAGCTTAATCAACGGTATACAACACAGATTCACCGATGGACGTTCAATGCGGTGTCCAAGGATTTTTACCAACTTTTTCAGATACTACCGTTCTATTGCCTCGTATCTCTAGTGCGTCGTTCCAGCGAGGCGATACATGCTATAATACCTATATGTAGGTCACAGGACGCTTTAGGGTTCTACTACTTGGTATAATGTTTAACAGAATCGAACCATATCTTGCAGCGGCATTTATAACGTTGCTTCTCCACAAAACCTTCTAAACTGTCTCCTATGTTTGCATCCAGAAGTCACGCAAGTGATGTGGCCACTAACCGCCTTGTAGTTGGGACTAATAGCAGCAGTCGTCCATAAGTGCACCCATTTGCCATGTACCCAGTATTGAAAACGAGAGTGAAGCGTACTATTTTGGAGACACCGACGTCATACCTTTTATTGTATAGTCATTACAGTAGGTCATCATATGTAACACCGAAAAATCTCGGTACAGCCCGTAGATGGACAGCAGGTTGTCTATGTCGCCCAGCAACAACTTGTTTCTGTTGCTTTCCTTTCAGTAGTTTCAGTTGAATGTCCTACAACGGCATTCATTGGTTCACTGCAAGTAGGCCACTACGGCAATAGAAGCATTAACGGTGAAGCAGTTTGTAAAACTGTCTACATGCCCCGGTTATCTGCTTCAGTATGGCTTACTGGTTGAGAACCGGGTTAACGTGCTGTCTACCGCTAATTAACTGGTAGCGCATACCAAGAGTAACTGTTAAAAACCAGTTTATAAACTTGATCATTACCGAAGCTTCGGTTTTTTCACATTTCGGTTTCAGAGCCCTTTGTGAGGGGTCAAATTTCACGTGAACTTTCACCATTAGAGAATCGCAAATGCAAAACTACTTATATTTCATTGTTTCAATACAACAATAAGGTCTCAACGTTTATGACGATGGGGAGATGTACTCAGTCCTTCTGTTGATTGCATAAAAGAGTAAATGCATAAACAAGTTAAATAAGCACATTTCACACTTTTGGAAGCCAATGAAACTTCGGTTTTTTGAGTACCACAGATGGCCAACTTCCTTTGATTCAGTGACTAATCGTTTAGGTGCCTGACCATATAGTAACTATTGTGTTCGTGATAGACTGGATCAATCATGACCTTTTCCGAAGTGGCAAAAGCTTTCATTCTGGTGCGCTTGACCAAACGATAACCAAGATCTGCGCATACCTCCTGTGGAATAGTAAAGCAAGAGATTTCACTCCAAACAGCAGCAGAGTAGACTTTAATATGAAGTGAAAAAACAAATCAGTAGGTCCATGATTATGAGGTAAAATTCGTTTCGCGAAATCATACGTTTACGACACACAGTTGGTTGTTGAAATCTTGTAGCATCATTCCCATTATTGTTTTTGTTGTAGGGCATCCGTGGCTGCACAGGACACACATTTGAAATGGGAACCACTATCTCTGCCCACAGCAATATTAAAGTTAAACTTGAGAAAACGAGGACTAAAGTCGTGTGAACTGCACTCCAGCTTAGTTCTGAGCCTATCCACACACAATCAACAGGTTCATAGCCCAAATGTGATTGAGTTCAGTTAATTACATACCCCAAGTGCTATTAACGATCAAAAAATATACATGAAACATGCGTTAGCAAAGACAAGGACTACTGCCAGTACTTAAAGGTAGCCGCGTAGTCCAGTAAAATTTAGGCGTAATCTGCATACTACATGTGCGCAAGACTCACCTATGTAGTGGTAAAGTCCGGCTTAAAACCCTTTTTCGAGTTAACACTATCGCGATTATTGTGCATCCTGCCTAGTAGTACCAGAAGACCAGTATCCGATGCGACAGCGTGGAACGGGTGCCTACCTTGTCAAATTTCGGATCCAGTACAGCTGTACAGGTACTAGTCATCGCGTGCAGCAAAAACCGGTGAAACATGAAAGGCTCGGAAACATGCGGAGATAAGGAGAAAGCTGCGCCACATCCACCAGGAAACCGGCCCCCAAGCAACGCCGCTCGAACCAACCTGGTTGCGATTAACAAATTCAGGGTATCTACTCATCGATGATCCTGGTCACTCTGCACCATTTCCGAATGCCACTTTAGAGGGAATTTGCGTATGGAAACTAAGATGACACCGTAGCAATTGATTACGAGACCCGCATCGTACGGGGCCTGAAAGAAAATATTACAACTTAATACGCCTAGTCTGAACACAAATTACTTTCAGTTCCAACTACTCAAGCACCTGAGGAGAATTACGACCAGTCTCCCCAATACTTCCACCCTGTGAGCTAGAAAAGTCGCATGTTTATGGATAAAAGAAATTCGATGGATTGAACAGGAATTAAGTCTTCTAAACTACTAAAAAACATCATTCCCCTTCAAAATTAAAGAAGATACCGATAAAGAACCGTCTTAGCTCCCAAAAAGCTAGAAAAGGCAAGTACCCTTTATACCCTTCATTGAGCTGCCTGACTCCAAATGTTTGTAGACCTCCCGTGGTTCCAAGACCAGGCATAGTTACCTTATCTCGAGGTCAACTTCCCTTCAGAGTGGATTGAACTGTCTTTAAGAGCCGGTTTACGATCCCTTCGAATGACCTGACATGGATATGGGTATGTGCATGGGCGGAAAGCAGGTTAGTGGCGACGCTGTCATCGCAGTGTCTATAGTGTAAGTCACGGTGTCATGTTCCCTCATACGCGTCATTAAGGATAAAATAGATAAAGATAGTAGGTGAGAAAATAGGCACACTTTCCCCAGATAGGATAGGTGAAAAGACACAGTATGTCCGGATTGTCAGGGGCAATATGGTCCGAAACTGGTCCGCACATGCCCATTTCTACCGGGCTCTGATTACAAGATCGCCTGCCAGATATTGGTGCCCCCCGTTGATGATTGGTACAAAGCATGCACGCAACTGTACACTGAGGGTAGCAACAGGATGGAAGCCGAATAGACCCCAGCGGTCAATAAGTGAATCACTGTGAATGCACTGACAGTCGCTCGCCTTGAATTAGGTAGTAGTCAAAAGTTAACGAGATGATGCATTGTTCTAATTTACTTACCTCTGTGAAACGTAGGCTCGTATAACCGCAACAGAGGACGGTAACGAGCACAACAATAGCACCAGCATAGGAGGTTATTTTCGATAGCTGTGCATACGGGCAATACTATCGCAGATAGGTACTCCGTACTCAACTCACAGTAAGGATACGTCTCCCACAGGCTCCATTTATTCGCCTCGTAATCGCACAAGGATTGCAAAATTTGGGCTCCGCATCAGGCTTCCAGCAAGCAACCAGCTTGAATACACAGCTCTGCTAAGAAATATGGCACTTGTGCTGCATGTATTAAACACGCGACATGAAACCCTGTTCGAAAATCTCGGGATACCCGTGAAGGTTTTAGGACTAACCCCACAATAATTAATTGTTGGGGTGGTAATTAGTACCAAAGCAAACTGAATATTTAATACCGAATACTGAAATTACAGCTCGAGAAGCTGTAAATCTGTGTTGACCTGCCTCAGTTAGATCGGGCACCTGTAAGTAATCACATCGCTGATGCTGTGCGGTAGCAGCATATTACAGTTGTGCATATTATCCGGAGGAGATCCGCACCCTATGCCTGAAATCCGCAAAGTGAGCGTCGAGTAATCTCTTAAATTCTGACAGAGATGTAGGCTCGACTGTTGTCTCCAACAACTTGTTCCAATATTTCACCACTCGACGCTCGAAGCATAGAGGGTGAGCGATACGTTTCAAATCCGATACCACCAGTTTGTACCACTGTCCCCATCTGCTGTTTGGTGCGTGAACGTGCAACAGCGGCCCCAACACAGGGAAGTGGCCAAGGTGCAATATCTGGTGCATCACTAAGAGATCAACTCGAAGCCGACGCTACATCGGTCTCCGTACGACATACCCCGTACACAGGGGATGAGCCACATGCTAAACCCGCTCCAGCCTCTGCACCAAATCTATTGTGATCGGATAAAAGGAAAATGAGCCATACTTCAGCACCGGTCTTGTCATGGAAGAATACATTCGGGTGGCAAACACTTCAGACCAAGTGAAGAGGCTGCGTCTAAGTGCCCAAAGCAGGCGTAATCCGTTTCCGTACAGTCTGTTCGCGCTGTCGACAGCCTGCAGATTACAGCGTGTGAGTACACCTGGATCCTTTACGGAGCTTGTCGGATGAAGCCATTGGCCGACTGTGGTGCAAATACGCCCATTGCCACCCGTCTTCAGACTCATAAATGCAGACTTGACCGTGTTGATCGGCAGATCAACTTTTGCAGACCACCGGGATATGCGAACGATGTCCTGCTGCAGAACGCGACAGTCGTCGGGAGGAGCGATAATCCTCCAAATCTTTAGTCCGTCTGCAAACAAGGCGCAGGGAGACCGAAGAACCTGAGGTACTTCGTTGATGTGGATCAGGAACAAAGTGAGCCCCAGTCAAAGTCATCCTCACACACGCGTGACGTGCGTGCTACTGGTTCAGTTGGATTATTTCCCTCTATCCTCTCTCCATCTTCTCGCAGCGTTGTCACTGTACGCTCATTCGAACCTG